CTTCTACTGTAACTAGATGGTGAAAGAGTCAGCAGGCTTCAGTCCCTGTTCTTTTATTGGCAGCTATATACCATAATCAGAGCCATAAACAGCTATAAACCCTTTGTAGAACTGCCACAAGCCACTCACATCAGCATTTCACTTCAGTTCATCTCATGGGTATTCCATCTGTTGCCCTGCATTTGATAGTCAGACAGATTTCAAGACACATCTCTTTGTAACCCAGCCAATGGGCAAGGGAATCAGGATTATTAAGGAAGTTGTCAATGGCTCATCTTCTTATTAATCTAATGCTGATGACGATACATATCCCAAGCAAGATGTATCAACATTTAAAAAAGGCAAAACTACTTCTGGAAGAAGTCCTGGATTCTTTGCAGATGTTGAAAAGTGCTGATATTCCAGCAGCAATCTATAACTTACTGACCCAGTCTACTGAAGCTCTTCTGTTAAATCAGGGAAGAGGGAGATCTCCAAGAATTCAGACATATTAGCATGATCTCCATCTACAAATAAAAAGAAGATTGAATAGAGTGCACTAATTATCAGGGATATTATTAATGACTACAAGTCAAATACTGGTTCCATTTTTAACTGATATAACATTCTAAACTACACAATCCCAGTCTTTACATGGCTTTAAAATGAGCCAGGAAAAATGATTTTTTTATTGTATAATAGATCCAAATGAAATAAGGAGAGAATCATGATCTCTAAATGTCTTTCCTTGACATCAAGCCCTAGATAGAGTCAATCAGTACAGTCTCTGGGGCCTGCTGGACAGGATCAGATTTCATAGATTTCATAGACATTAGGGCTGGAAGGGACCTCGGAAGATCATCGAGTCCAGCCCCCTGCCCAAAGGGCAGGAAGTCAGCTGAGGTCATAGGATCCCAGCAAGATAAGCATCCAGTTTCATCTTGAAGGTGTTCAATGCAGGCGCTTGAACCACCTCCGGTGGCAGGCTGTTCTAGACCTTGGGGGCTCGGACAGTAAAGAAATTCTTCCTTATGTCCAGCCTGAAATGGTCTTGTAGTAGTTTATGACCATTCGACCTAGTCGTCATCCCTTGGGGCGCTCTGGTGAACAAATGTTCCCTCAGATACTGGTGGTCACCCCTGATAAACTTATAGGTGGCCATCAGATCACCCCTGAGCCTGCGCTTTTCCAGGCTAAAGAGCCCCAGGGCTCTCAGCCTGTCATCATAGGGTCTGCTTCCCTGACCTCTGATCATGCGTGTGGCTATTCTCTGGACTCTCTCAAGCTTCTCCACATCCTTTTTGAATTGTGGAGCCCAAAACTGGACACAGTACTCCAGCTGCGGACTCACTAAGGCCGAGTACAAGGGGAGAATGACGTCCTGGGATTTGCTTGAGAAGCATCTATGGATGCAAGCCAGCATTTTGGTTGCTTTACTAGCCGCAGCATCACACTGCAGGCTCATGTTCATCTTGTGGTTAATGATGACCCCCAAGTCTCTTTCTTGCATAGTGCTAGCCAACATAGCACTGCCGACCCTATAAGGATGCTGCGGGTTTTTCTTCCCAAGGTGGAGAACCTTGCATTTATCGGCATTGAACACCATCAGATTCTTGTCCGCCCACTTGTTGAGTCTGTCCAAGTCCGCCTGGATCATCCGCCTGTCATCTGGTGTGGATGCTTTGCCCCAAAGTTTGGTGTCATCGGCGAACTTGGCCAGTCCGCTTCTGACTCCAGTGTCCACATCATTAATGAAGATGTTGAACAGTATGGGTCCAAGGACAGAACCAGATCGAAGGCTTTTTTGAAGTCAAGATATATGACATCAATCTCTTCTCCCTTGTCCAGGTGATAGGTCACCTGGTCGTAGAAGGAAATGAGACTGGTCAAGCAAGACCTACCTGCAACAAACCCATGCTGGCTATCCCTTTAAGATGTTGGCGTTGGCCAGTCCATTAAGCATGGCCTCTTTAATAAACTTTTCTAAGATCTTCCCCAGGATAGAAGTCAGGCTAATGGGCCTATAGTTAGCTGGATCCACTTTCCTCCCTTTCTTGAAGATAGGCACCGCATTGGCCTTCTTCCAGTCTTCAGGCACTACACCAGAGCACCAAAAGTTTTCAAACATCCGCGCTAGAGGCTGGGCTATGATGCTCACCAGCTCCTTGAGTACCCTGGGGTGAAGATTGTCAGGGCCGGCTGACTTGAAGGTATCCAGCTTCTCAAGATGTCTTCATAGATTTCATAGATATTAGGGCTGGAAGGGACCTTGAAGATCATTGAGTCCAGCCCCCTGCGTCAGGGGCAAGAAGTCAGCTAGGGTCAAAGGATCCCAGCAAGATAAGCATCCAAACATTTCTTGAATGAGTCTAGAGTAGGTGCCTGCACCACTTCTGGGGGGGTCTATTCCAGGTCTTAGGGGATTGGACAGTAAAGAAGTTTTTCCTTAGGTCCAGCCTAAAATAATCTTGGACAAGTTTATGACCGTTGGTCTTTGTTATCCCTTGGGGTGCTCTGGTGAACAGATGTTCCCCCAGATCCTGATGCACACCCCTTATGTGTACTTATAGGTAGCCACCAGGTCACCCCTGAACCTGTGCTTTTCTGGGCTAAAGAGGTCCTATACCTGTCAGCCTCTCATTATAAGGACTATTCTTTTGCCCTCTCATCATGTGTATGGCTCTCCTCTGGACTCTCTCAAGCTTCTTGACATCCTTCTTGAATTGTAGAGCCCTTGAAAATGTCCTCACAGTCACCTCTGCTCTTCATAAAGGAATAAGTGGAAAGACTGCTACTGATCTTCCTCAGACTTTCCTTATCTTTAAGGCAGTGAAACTGAACTTTTGTACCAATTTGATTCATTGTTCTATGCAGTAGTTGTGAGGTGTAAGGGTTTAGCCTCTGCTCCCCAAATTGACGAGTTCTCTGACCTAGCTGCATTGCAAGATGGCCCTTGCTCAGCTACCCAACTGGTTCCAGGCTCTGATTTAATGGAGCATCTAACCTTTGCTGAACAACATAATGAGCTTACATTTTTTAAACAGCTGCTTGTGTCCACATGACTTTCGTTGCTCCCAGCCCTATCTTACGCCAAGGCCTGGTCCTTGGTTTCTGGTTTTTGCCTGTTTCCTGGCTTCTTCACTTTGATTTAGAAACCTTGAACCTGATCAGGAAAAGTGAAGCTTTCCTAATCAAATTCCACCTTTTTCCAAAGCAAGATGCCAGCTGACAGTTGGGTAATGTCAGCTACAATAATTTAGCACCAGTCTAAGAAAAGTGAGCTGGGCTCAAGAAGCAGGGACGAAAGGCAAACTAAGCACTGCCATGAGACTGTATGTGGCATCATGACCTAGTTAATCATAAGTAGACATTTCACATGGCTAGGAGAACTTTGACTGATGTTTCCTCTATACAAGATAGCTAGATTGACTAGACTTGGATGCTTTGGCTGTATCATGCCTGAATCTAGGGGAATGACAAATTAGTGGACAAAACACTGATCCAGGAAACAAGAGATCTGGGCTCCACTCTTTC